AGGTACAATGATACCAGCTACCTTACAGTGAGGCAACAATACCAGCTATCTTACAATGAGGCAATAAAATACCAGCTTGCTTACAATGAGGCAATAATACCAGATAGCTTACAATGAGGCAATAATACCAGCTAGCTTACAATGAGGCAATAATACCAGCTAGCTTACAATGATGTAAAAATAGCAGCTAGTTTACAATGAGGCAAAAATACAAGCTAGCTTACAATGGACCATGGAATTAGAAAAAACGGTCCAAAAAACAAAAATTAAATTTTTAGCTCCATGCATATCAGGTTATCAGGTTGGATAAATAAAACCATTCATGAGTAAAGAAAGTGAAATTTAAGCTTGTAAATCTAAGAATATTAAGTAAAATGGTTGAAGGGGCAAGAGAGAGAGAGAGATGGGGCGGGGGGGGGGGGTTGTTGTTTTTATAGTGTAGCAGACAAGAAACAAATTTTAGTTTGCCCAGTGTCAACCCAAAGTTAAACAAAAAGAAAGAAAGAAAGGCTACAACTACAAAATGTGGCATGCATGAGTGCACACAAGGATTGTGACGGTGATTTTGTTCTTTGTCAATGGTTGAAGGGGCAAGAGAGAGAGAGATGGGGCGGGGGGGGGGGGTTGTTGTTTTTATAGTGTAGCAGACAAGAAACAAATTTTAGTTTGCCCAGTGTCAACCCAAAGTTAAACAGAAAGAAAGAAAGAAAGGCTACAACTACAAAATGTGGCATGCATGAGTGCACACAAGGATTGTGACTGTGATTTTGTTCTTTGTCCTGCCTGTTCTATGTTTTGTCAGTTTGAGTTTTTTTCCCCTTAAATATTCTGTGATAAACAAAACTAGGTCTGGGGTGGTTAACCCATTTGTCAGAGTGGTTTTTGCAATTGGGGTGAGTGGGTAGTGATGGTATATAGATAATGGTCCCACAGATGCTCAAACCAAATTAGGGTATTTATTCACAGAGGATAAAATTTAGGTAAACTAATTAAGCATATTTAAAGGATAAAAAGTCAAAAAGCTCACTCATAGATGCATTGGTTTTAAATAACTATTTTTCTGTGTTTGTAGGCATTGGCCTATAATATAAGGAAGTAGGCCTATTTATCAAGTTATTTATACAAAATATCAAACTCATGTAAGGGTATTTTTTTTTTAAAATCTATGGTCTTTGTAGTCTCACCTCCACCCCCCCCCCCACACACACAACACCTTTCTCATGGCCTATAATATAAGGAAGTAGGCCTATTTATCAAGTTATTTATACAAAATATCAAACTCATGTAAGGGTATTTTTTTTTTAAAATCTATGGTCTTTGTAGTCTCACCTCCACCCCCCCCCACACACACACACACTTTCTTCCATTAACACCTTTGACTATATTGATAAATTAATTACATGACAGCTGATATATTGGAATCATTAAATATTATTAATATGATTAGGCCTACAATTTCAAAGAGAGTAATAACATAAAAATATTGTGGCCCAAAATAAGAATACAATTATTAAGAGAATTTAACCATATATTGAAGTTTGCAGAAAACGCAACTCATCTTAAATATAACCTTCCTTTTTTAGTATGGAAGGTTTTTATTTTTATAAAATATCAGAATCTGATTCAGAAGTGTGGGCCCAGCAACCTCTGCAGCTGAAGTTGGCCTCCAGAATCCACCCGACTTCTTTGATCATAATAAAACACAGACAAATGGATTAACTTTAGACGCATTTCTATCAATTACATACGGACTCCAGTAATACTAACTACTTATACGTAAAAAGGCTAAAATTGCAAATTATTAGAAAAGATTTTTAATTATTTTAACGTAGTTAATTACAATATTTATTGGCATATAACACGCCCCTGCGTATAACATGCACCTCGATTTAAGAAGGAAATTTCAGGAAAAAAAAACTAAACATTATATCGGCGTATAACATGCACACATCATTTGCCCCCTATTTTCAGGGAGAAAAAGTGCGTGTTATACACCAATAAATATGGTATTGATAATTTATTAATAAATTATACATGTACTTACAGTTTCAATTAGCTTGTGTATGTTGTCTTTGGTGTTGTAATACATTTATCCATTTATTAAATGGGGATGTATTATCCAGAGTGGAAAAAAAATATAGTCCAAAGCACTGTGTACTGTCTTTATTGAAGATTATTATTGCTGATTACACAAAGCCAAGTTGGGTTGGTCTATTAATTAGGCCCAATATTATATATGAATATGATGACTATACTATTTATAATATGCAAATATAATTATTAATAAAATATAATTTTATTACATAAGTATACGTTTGTCAAAATAAATTTAAAAGTTTACAATTTAAATGTAGTATGTAGATGTGCCAGCAATGAAATAGTAATACTACTAATACTAATGATACCACATCATTTTGAAAATTCCTTAAACAATGGCCTGATCAAAATAACTGCACATTGAATTGATCTTGACTCAATTAACGGTCGCCAACCAAATCACCATGAATCATTCAATGAGAATGAGATCAATGAATGATAATCTTTAATGTTATTATGTCTATGGTTAGCAGTTAGTAATGTTCTTATTCTTATTATTATTGAAGCTATTGCAATTCATAGGATCATGAAATTTATTCATTAAATGTAATGTAATGTTTTCAATTTCCTTAGCCTTAACTAGGCTTTATGAGGCTTATGAATGCTTGGATTCTAAGTTTAGTCTAAACTGTTAGTTTTTTTTAAAATAATTTTTATCTTGTCTTATTTATTGTGAGTAGGGCTAGAATTAGAATTATACTATACTTAAAACTTATACATTTATTTTATTTACCAACCGACAATTTCAAATAAATAATTAAAAAAACAATAGTCCACGGTAATTAAGTTAACTTTGTAAACAGAGTCCAAATTATCACAATTAATTACAGTCTAAGACAGAAGTTTGTATTTTCGAGGCAGAGGCCAGTGGCCCTGTGATCTGTCACTTCTTAGACATGAACTAGGCTACTTACTCAAGTTACTACTAGGGCTGCACACTCCCACACTATTTACGAATTTAGTGCGACACACCTGTCAGCATGTCATTGTTCTTCTGTCATTTAGCGTTTGTCAACACATTTCTAAAAGATAATCTCAACTTATATGAAAAACTTAATCAACTAGCTGGAAATTATATCAATACTAAGACAGTACCGGTAATTCCAGTCGCTACACACACCACTTCTATCTTTTCCATTTCGTTCTTAACCACCATTCGCCTCCTGTGCGGCTTCATTTTATTGATCGCTATGAACTTTGACCTCTTAACCCAAACAACAGCAGGAAAGGTGGGGAAAGAAACGCGATTGTGGGGAGATAAAAAGTCAAATATGAAATTAGCAAGTATACAGCTTTACCCCCCTTATTCGATGTAATGCTTCTTTGTTTTTAATGTTGCTGGTAGGATTGCTGTAAAATATTTATTCTTTTAATTTGAATTAAATATATAAATTGATTTTAATTTGAATAGAATTTAATATACAAATTCAGCTCAAAAAGAAATGTTAAATTAAAGTTAAGTATGGTAGCCACAAAAAATTAAAATTTTGAACAAGTATAAAAGTAAAAGTTTGAAATTAAATTTTAGTACCATACATTCATCTTCTTCTAAAGAATATTTTTTATTGCAATTTAATATGTGTAACGGACAATGTTTTCACATGAAAACAGAGAGGTAGCATGAGTGAACAGTGAATGGTGTTGACCATGTTTTGTCCACGAGGACAATGAATTGTATTTTGAGATGCAAATGTGAACTCCACGTTTTTGGAGAGTAAAATTATGTTTTTGTCAGAGCGGTTGTTTTGCACGCTTTGCTGGTAATAAAGTATGAGTTGACTGAGATAAGGAGAGCTGAGCGCAAGGAGAGTCAGAGTTAGTCAGAGTTGAGTTAGAGTTGAGATGTAAGACAGTTGAGCTGAGTTTTAGTAGTGTGAGGACGTGTCTTTCTTAATGATGGAATACTATAGATATATATGTGAAATTACATTCATGCAAGGATTATTTATTAATATTATCAGTATAAAGTGTGTTCAATAAAGTACTGTGAGTTTAACCAGGATTCAGTATTCTTATTTGTGTGCCCGGATAATAAGTGGAAGAATGAAGAAGTCTTAGTCGGCATCCTGAAATATCAACATAACATAAGTAACCATACTACTGACATAACCCACAGCATAAGAAATAAGATCCCACGCCATGTCAGAGTAGTTGTGTTACAATATGATTCAGTATTCTTCTTCTTCTATAAATTAAGGGCCCACGATCAATTTATTGATCATTTTGGCTCCTATATCATGGATACCGGTATAAATTATTATAAACTAGAATATATATATTTAAATTTTTCATAGTAATCAAACCAGCTGTTTTCAGAAAATTTGTGTTTGGGTGGGGCGTAAATTGAATTCACTGTGACCAGATGATAATCATATTATGAATAAAGAGTTACTTTCACTTAAGTTATTTAAAAATGTAATACTCTTATCAGTTATTTGGTTGACAGTCTTGAGCAGCACAACTATGAGCTCACATCTACAACATAAAGATAATGTTGTAGTTATTCAGCAAGTATAACTATTTAATTATTCTATTATAGTTGTAACATCATATTTTATTAAATATTATAATTTAGGAGTTCTGGTCAGAACATACAACGTACCTGTCTGATATTACTGATAATTCTTACTTTTAATTTAAACATCTATAATTTTGTACCAGTACGAGTAAAAAAAATTATTTTTTGAAATTATATTTTGTTAAGTTATTCAGCTGATATGTAAAATTACCTAAGCTTTATCTTTATACACATTTGAAGTATCATATTTATAATTAATCTAAACTGCCACAAAAATTCCATGTGAGCCTTAAACTTTTCCCAAAATATTAAAATATCAATTATTATATATTAAAAATATTTTTAATTCAGAAAAAATAAATACATTTATGTAACAAAAAAAATGCTCATCTACTCAAGTTTTAATATTCAAGATTGAAGAGTGAGTGCCTGAATTTTGAATGTAAAAAACATTTAAGTGAAAATAACAACTGATTAACTAAGAAATACACTCCATATGATTAAGGTATACAGGCTATTTGAAGGCAGGGTCTAAAAGTTGTGCCCAAAAAAACTCTACTTTCTCTGAACGCCTGTTGTAACAAGTTCTCATGTAAAGCGGTTATATAAATAGATACATATGATTGTGCTTTTAACAAGAATGCAAAATACCAATCACTTGCAATAGTTTAAATCCAATAATTACGGGCGGTTATAAACTTTTGTTTAAAATGGATTGGATAAAAATGTAGCGTATTTGCTATATATCATTTTCTTTACATGATGCTAAAATAATGTGTTATAGACTTGCATGAAACTCTAAACAAATGCCATCATAAGCTATCATAGTTTGAACTTGGAACACCTTTAACTTTAACAAATTACTTTCAGAACAACTTTCCATAATTAATGTAAAAAGACCATAACAAGTTCAGATGCTTTGAAGGAGTTTTAATTATATTATATAATTTATATATTTTATTTTATTAAAATCCACATGTATGACAATAATAATTAATAGCTAGGGATGAAATTAACCTACTCTCTTTGTAATAATGTTCCAATAAAAATTTCAGAAGCAGAATGCCACTCAATTTTAAAATATTGACAAATTAGAGAGTGAATTATCGCTAAGAAACTAAGAAATTATCTTTCATTTTTCTTTCTTTGCCTTATAGGATATTATGAAATTAAAATCAATTAAGAGTAGTGCCTGTTTTTATCCATTGGATTTTATTTCAGCTCAGTTAGTATTCCTGCAAGATGGTTTCTCTAATTTCAACCTTAACAATGTTAAAAGATTTTGTACTTTTTCCACAAATAGTATTCAACATAGCTTTTCAATTATTAATTCAGTATCTGTAATATCTGTCTAGCTCTTTCTTCTCTATCTGCAGTTTCTGAAAAGAAGAGAAAAAAAAACTAGTCTAGTGCCAAATGATAAAAGAAAATAGACTTGGCATTAACATTAATGTTTCCCATTCAAACTGTGTCCTTTGTATATAAATAATATCTGATCTGAAATCCACTTTAGTCAACTGACAATGCATTGGTTGTAAAAAAAAGGCTTGTTTCCCTGATCTAGGTGCAAAGATAAAATGTTTGATTAGAGGGAGTCTTTACTGTTTCTTCATTCTTCCTGTGCTTAAAGCAAAGCTCTTGACTTGAGTTTTTTTATTAAATGTTTTAATAAATAACATTTAATTGATAAAATTATGTTTTTCACAGTACCACATAATTGGTAGCTCATTAATATAACAAACATCGACAGGCAGGAAAAGACTGATTAATTATTTCCTGGCAGCTAACCAGTGGCCGTGGAGCATAGTGGGGACCAAGAATATTTTAAAAATTGTGGCAAACCTGTATCTGGTTTCTCATCCTTCAAAACTTTCTCAGCCTCTTCTCTGGTTTTATCTTTTGCTTTTCCTCTCAGTCCTTCTAAATACTGTAGAACAACTTCAAAGTCTTCCTCACTCACCTAGAAAGAGGAAAAGTATATATAAATTAATTCAATTTAAACAGATTTGGGGGAAGCATTAATGAAATTAATGAATCTAAAATATCTTAAATGCTTCATTTCAAAGTGTTTCCTTACTGTTGTTTTACTTTAATTTTAATAATAATACAGTAATAAACAAGAAAATTTTTTAATTAAAGTCAATGAAATAAGATTATTAAAGATACAAAAGACCATCAGCTTACCAATGACTTGTCATACATTATGTGCAATAAATTAACTTGGAACATTTTATTGAACTTCCAAGCCTTCCTATTTGAGCTCCACAGCCTCAGATAGTCAAGAACTTTTTCATTTCGACTTTTTCCAGAAGTCGTGTCTGCTTGTTGGGCTTCAATTTTCTTATCCTTTCCTTTCTTTTTCTTCTTTTTCTTATCACCTCCAGAATTATTGGTGACTGAATCTGCTTCTGTCTGATCAGCCATAGGCAGCCCCATATTTGTCCCAGCTTGTTTTAGAATGTCTACATCAACAAAACCTAAAGATGAATCTTCACTGGAAAGTTTTTCATTTTTTTTTCTTTTCTTTTTAGGCAGAGACTCTTGCGTTACATCCTCATTCTCTTGCGTTACATCCCCATTCTCTGAGACATTCAAAGATTTATCTTTCCTCCGTTTTTTTTTCTTATTAGAACTACTGATTTCACTTGTATTAATTTGGATATCATCAATCGAGACATCAATCACATTTGATAGTCTGTCTTTAATGGCATGTTCCTGCTTTGTCAATTTTTTCGCTGCTTTCCACATTTCTTTACTTTCGATTTGTTGAGCCTCAACTTCCTTATCATTGTCCTTTTTTTTCTTTTTCTTTTTTTTCCTCTCATCACTTCCTGAATTATTGATGGCTGGATCAGCCTGAGACAGCCCCATATTTGTGTTAGGCAGAGACTCTTCAGTTCCATCTTCATGCTCTGAATTATTTAAAGATTTCTCTTTCCTTCCTTTTTTTTTCTTACTAGAACTACTGGTCTCAATATGATTAGTTTCATTTTCATTATCTATAACAGAGACATCATTCACATTAGATAGTCTATCTTTAGTGGCATGTTCCCGTTTCTTAGCTTCTTTCACCATTCTTTAATGTTATTTTTCCCAGTTAAAAGAATTTTTTTTAGAATGCAAAATATGTAGCATTTGTTATTACTCTAATTGATTCAAAATATATTTTGCATAACTGGTATATGGCTGCGGTATCTGAAAAATTTAGAAGAAAAAATTTGTTAAACTGTGAATTAAAAAATACAACTTGAACAAATTTGCTAGGGTCAGGAAATAACTCAAATTACAGACAATTTGTTTTTTTTTAAATTTAGATTCTTACAGCATTCAGTTACTACAAAATTTGCTTACGTGAGCAGAATATTGTTGAAACCATAGAATCTTTAATGTCTAATGCAAGAAGGACAAAACTAGAAATAATTCAAGAACCATCCTTTTTTTTTTCAGGAGCCAGGGTGTTTTTTTGTTGTTTTGTTGTAATTTTTGGTAAATAACTTTAAGAAGTAAATTTACTCTTATACTGTTGAACTATAAAGTCTAAAATATCTGATATTTAAAATTAAATAAACAAGTTGGCAGCTTTCATCTCTTAAGTTTATTTCAGATAAAAACAAAGAAAATGTAACTTAACAGTAAATGTTAACTAAGGAAGGTCATTATTTGTTGCAGGTAAACTTGTTTTGTATTTCTATGCTTTTTCTAAAGATTCAAATTTTATCCAGTAAATGAACTGCAACTTTAAAAAAAAAATAAAACTTATTCCTTTGTAATTATTTACAAACTATTCATCCCCTTCAGTATCTTGCACATGTTGATGACTTAGCGCTGTTAAGGAAAAGTAGTCAAGAACTATCAAAAGCTTTCATTGAATTAGAAGATGAACCTCTGCAAGCAGGGCTGGAAATTAACAACCAAAAAACAAAATACATGACTATGATAAGAGAAGAACAGACCGATAAAACTATTAAAATTATAAACCACACTTTTGAAAAAAAAAACAGTTCAAATACATAGGATCTTTATTCAATGAATGAATGAATTACGAAACAGAAATAAAAAAAAGAATGTCAGCCAGAAACAGGCCATACTTCAGTAGTCGGAAAATACTCAAAAGTAAAAACATTACAAGAAAAACAAAGAAAACTATATATAAAACTGTAATCAGATCAGTTATAACATACACAAGTAAAACTTGGACTTAAACAAAAATAGAAGAAAACTTATTTAAAAAAATGGGATGGAAAAGTTATCCGGAAAATATATGGACCAACAAAGGATGAATATAGATGGAGAATATGAACCAACAGGAATTGTATAGTCTATATTAAGGTCCCACGCCAGTGTAGCAAAAATAAATAAGGACAGCTTACGATGGGCAGGACACTTAGAAAGAATGACAGAGGAGTGAAGCGGGTGCTCCACCAAAACCCCAGAGGAAAACAGCTCAATTGCAGACCTAGGCTTAGATCGATGTATGATGTGGAAAAGGATTTACAGCAGCTGGCAATCCAAGCATGGAAAAGAAAAGCATCAGTTAGGTTTGCGTGGAAGGAAGTGGTAAGGCAGGCCAAAGCCCTACATGTGATGGATATTAATTTGGAAAAAGTTGGGGGTTTTTTTTGTCCTTATTGTGGTGAGAGTGCTTTGGGATTTTGGATGTTTATCTTGGACTTCTAGCAAGGAAGAGTTTTTTTTTTTTAATTTATTTTGAGCCTTGCCTTGCACATTAAATTTTAAAAACGAATTGAAATTTTCATTTTAATATCAATATATTTCCTATTAACTGTATAGATGGTTATATTTAGTTTATGGCTGAAAAAATGCTCATTGAAAAATGGGAACATTACTATCGACTGTGTTCAGGTCCAAATGTTGGTCCTGTCACCTTAAGTCCAATTTTAGGATTCCCCAATTGATTATTCTCATACTCATACTCTCATACTGAGTCATAATCATATACATACAGATATCACTTGTAATTAATTGTACTTTACACCATCATCAGGTAAAAGTGCAATTCAGGTGCGTATATTATTTCTAAATGAATTTAGTATTTTGCGAGTAAACTTATGTGAATTCTTTATTAAAAGCATTTGTTAAAGTAAAATCCAATCTTTTTGTTAAAATACAACAACAATTTAACTAATTTTAAGAGATACAGTAGTACATTTTCATGAATCTTTTGTCTTTTACAAAGTGGAGCCATTGTATTTATTTTATAACTTTAATAGCCAATATACACGACGTTGCACAGGATTACATTCAGAAAAAAAACATCTGCTAGAGCCTTTTAATTCACATTGATATTAGGCAATGTCTACACGTCCAGCGCGCCGGACGTACATCTCCCGCACTATTTGTCCGGCGCCAAGTCACATGAACGCCGGAAGAATACTTTATCGAGATATTCGTCCGGCGACCAAGTCACTTGACAGCTGTAACAAAGTTGCCTGAGATATTAGTCCTCAGCCTTGTCACGTGATCGCTAATGATTTTAAAATCTATTTCTCTACAAAGTAATTTACTGAGTATCTTGCAAAAAAAATAATAGAAAAAAATAATTGGGTATATTACCAAAACAAAGAAGGGGTTAAGCAATAATGCATTCTAGAGGGAATCAATGCTAAGAGGGAGAGAGAGTTGCGATAATAAAAAATAAGAATGCTAAAAAATAATAGTGAGGGTGATAAATAATTACTTTTAACGCGGGTTCACAAAGAAATGACCCTACATCTTAATATAGGGCCGATATAGTGGTAGCCTAGCCTATTTCTCCTGCAATACTAAATACTAATCCTGAAATACAACTTTATTGTATTCAAGGTATTCAAGGCTTCAAGGTAGAGCTTTACAAGTATTAGTAATACTCGTTATTATATAGGCCGACTAGTTTAATATTCAAAGTCAAACACTTTATTTATCTCAGAGCATTTGAATATATTAACATGTTCAGCATTTATTAATTATCTAGGGATCCAAATATCAAATGCAATGCAACTATTTTGCCGGGGACCAATAGTCACATGACCTTCTGGAATAATAACGGCTACTAGTCTTCCGGCGGTCACGTGACATGGCCGCCGGACGTATATATATCTCCCGCACTATGTGTCTGGCACGCCGGACGTGTAGAAACTTTGTTGATATTAAGTGAAATGTGGACAACAAAAAAACAACACCACTATACTATAGTAAAAAAAATTAAATAATTAATTTGTCTCCTATAAAAACACATATAATAACTTTTGTTAACCTTTGTTCCCCGATTGGATTTGGATCCCGTTTTCCGGTGGGATCCCATTTCTTGATCCCCGTAGGATCCGAACTCTGTGGGACCCCAGCCCCGATGGGATCCCGATCCCTTTGAATCCCAATACCTGTGGGATCCCGATGGTGATTAAAAATCTTGCAACAGGGAGAAAAAAAAAAAAAAACTCTGACAAAACAAAAATGGGGCTATGTCATGTAACTTTTGTTGAGGGATGTTCAAAGTAAAGACGCTTTAGATTAGAAATCAACTAGAAATAAAATTTAGTGTGGTATAATTCAGTATTAGTTAAATATTACTGCCTGAATTTAATGGGAGTCGCTTAGTCGATTGATTTGTCACGTGATGAGAGTAAAAACGAGTAAGACTTCCGGTAGGTTGTATACAACACACTAGTGCTTGACAACAGTAGCCCGATACACACTATAACTAGTAATTCAAGATGCCTAGGCAATGTTCGGCTTTTGGCTGTTCAAACAGTCAAGTTGAGGACGGCGGTATAAGTCTGCATAACTTTCCGCTTAAGGATAAAGACAATTTAAGACGATGGCTTGACAAAGTGGACCTTCGTTAATTATTCACATGAAATCTTGTTCCAACCGGTTATTAAAATATTCCTTCGCCGCACCAATATTGAATAAAAACGCAAATGACGTCATGGGTATGCCGACATTTCGTCCAATGAAAATTAACAATAAAATAAACAAAGGGGAATGACTCCTGCACCAATATTGAATAAACACGCAAAATGACGTCATGGGTATGCCGACATTTCGTCCAATGAAAATTAACAATAAAATAAACAAAGGGGAATGACTCCTGCACCAATATTGAATAAACACGCAAAATGACGTCATGAGCACGCACGGAGCTCAACAACAGCCTGCCGATAATAGTATTGATAATTCCCATCGAATATGGCTCACAAATTTTTCTTGAAACAACTTTCTTCCTTTAATCATAAATGACGTATATTTATTGTCACATTTATGTATTTCATTTAAAAAACGCGTGTATTCCAGAATATTTCGAAAGGTAAAAATTTTAAGTAACATGACATTGGGGAAGCACTGATGAAGTATCTTTTGTTGTGTGTAGCAGCCTAGTGATGGCTTACTCTCATCACGTGACCAAACAAGGAAGTGACTATGACTAAGCGACTCCCATTAGTAAATAATTCACGTAACTTTACTGTTAGGTGTATTCTTTACTAATTAAATCCAGGCAGTAATTATTAATTTAATAGACTTTGCTTTGAGGGACTTTTGACTTTACTGTGTTACTTTACTTTGTAGTAACTTAACATGCGCGAAACTACGAAATGCGTTAAGAAATCCGCGCCTGAAATCCACTTTTATCCGATCATCTATATCAGCATATAGCTCAAAGACTACTATCATATGTTTTTTTTAATGCGTTCAACCTTTTCTTATGATATGGAGAGTAAAGAGGTGCGCTGTTTGGACCTTGTGGTGTGTTTATGTTCACGTTGTTTTCACTGGAAACAGGATGTTTAGTACAAATTTTCGATTTTTTAATTTTATTTCGCATTATAAATAAAACTATTAATTAACATATAATTATATAATCAGTTAAATAATTATAAATTTCATTTTAAGATGGGTATGGGCTTACTTTAACAAAATGTATTAGCGTTTGCGCGTTCACTAATTTTTTTACTTAATTTGAAAAAATAATAATGCCTTTTTTCATACCCTAACCGTACTGTACCACGAATAAACATTTTTTTTTAAATATATAAAAAAAATCTAGGGCAAGTGGTCGTACAACAAACACTGCAACTTCGTATGTCCCGTATGTGGCCTCTCTCTCCACTCTGCATATATATATATATAAATATATATATATATATATATATATATATATATA